AAAGCTGTGCAATTCAGATGAATGGAAATTGTATATGCAATTCAAATGCATTAATCCTAAATTGAGGCCTAAATATTTTTTGAGTGCATGTAGCCAGCATGTTTTGTGAATGTACCCAAGTAACGTGAGTCAGGTTCGACTGTGTCGAGTGACTCCCAGAAGAATATCAGACCCCAGGTTTAACTTAATTTGCACAGCCGCAATCCCTCTCCCGCAGAAAGGCAAATCAAAAGCCGAGAGAAGCATCTCTCCCCCCACCCCGTCCTACCATTTGGTATAGCGTACCCTGTGCTGTGCTCTAGCCTCAGAACTAGGCCTTATGTCCTGTCTGGGTGAACGCTTGACTCATCCCTATGGGCGGCTATGTTGGGGCCCATACCAACCTTGTTTAGTCCCACAGTGCTTTGTGCGGCCCACCGAAGCTAAGAAGGCAGCCGACGAGTCCAAAATGAGGTTCGCCCACATCGACGGGGACCACCTGACCTTGCTCAACGTCTACCATGCCTTCAAACAGAGTATGTATACATGACACACACACTAGCATCTTGTGCTCATGTGAGTTGATTCCCTCAACCCCGTTTTTAATTAGCCTAATTGCCTAAATCTATTACAACTAATTTTAGGTTGTTTTTGTAGGTGGCCAAAAATCGTAATTTGTTTCATCAAAACTGGTGCCTGCGAGGCAATGCACTATTAAAACTGTTTGCGTGCAGTTCATTCATAACATCAGCTTCCATATTTTCTCCCGAACTCCCATGGGGTTTCTCGCACCTCGCTTATATGAAGCATGCTAACAATCAAGAGAGGAGGTTGATGTTTATGTGAAGCTGACAAGATTCATGTTACAGCATTTTAATTTGTTAGTACAAACAAAAAGTCACAATGTTAGTGATACACAATATGACAGATTAACATCTTTCTTTTTGAAAGCTGCTATAGAAAAAAAAAGTCTATATTATTGGCGCATAGATAAGTTAATAGAGATATGGGATCTCTGGGCTGCCGGTTATATTCAAAAACGTTGACGGTAAAGTTCAGAGTTGTAACCAATAGATTCTAATGATTAATTAGCAGAAACGAGTTTACAGTTAACCTCCAGGGACAAAAGCATTGATATTCATGATGTATTTTTTTTCACCCTTTAACATGCCTTTAGGAAGCCTTTGGTTATAAAAACTATTTTGTTTTAGCAGAGTTTGTGTTGAGGGATAACTTGGAAAAATTTAGCAAAAATGCAACGCCGGGCATTTAGGGGCACAAAATATCACCAATATTTTTCAATACACTTAAGTAAAAGTGAACACTTGCGACACACCAATGTATTTGAACAATATATTCTAACCAGTTAGGATACAGTCATAAAAAGTAAGGAAATTTCACTATTTGACCATTTGAATACAGTTATATTCATACCAAAGCATATTTTAAATATAATGTAGTAATTCTTAAACTACTAAAACTACTAAAAACAACTTTCATAAATAGCTTTTGTTGGCTCAATTTCACAAGAACGATAGAAAAATGTTTGACTCCTAATGCCCAGCTTTGCATTTTTGCTACTCTCAGAAAAAATGGTGTAAAATTTATGAACGTTAAAAATTCCAAGGCATGCAATCAATGAATATTTTTTTCTGAATTTAACTGTAGTTGCAATGAATTTCAGTGTGTCATCTACTGTTATATGTAGTTTTTACTCACAATTAGTGAAAATGAGGCATTTAATTGCTTTATACGATGTTGGTTCTCTGAGGATTACATTTCTTCCAGCTAAAAAACAATATGGGCCAATAGCCGGTATGCTTATGATATTTCTTGCAATCATAGTAACTTACCTTATAGTAACAGTAACTTAATATATTGTGTGTATATAGTTCTGCCATTCATTGTTACACTGTATGAATTAATTTGACAAATTACACACTTCACTTTTTAAAATGACAATGTTGTCTAGCCAAATCTGAAGGACAGCTACAAGTAAGCATTTGCAGGTTGATTCCTTTGAAAGCATAATCACTGTTAGTGAAACACACCTCTGTTGGTTTGAACATCCTGACAACATTGACCCAACCAGAGGCCTGAGATTGGAGTGGGAGTATGTTTGGTCTTCCAGTAGCAGATAAGTGGAGAAGTGTTTGGGAAACCTGTTTGAAAACAGTCTTTTTTTTTTTGTGACGCGAGCTCTGCAGAAATTGCACACTTCACCTTGAAGGCAGCATCTTAAATCTGAAATGAGTTTTTGTTAATAAGCTGCATTTTTAGTGTTTTATAAATGTATAGATGATTTTGCAGTGCTGCTTGGATGTTGCTCTTAACATGGTTTTAATGTATAACCCTTCTGTTTAAGACCACGAGTCGGTGCAGTGGTGCTATGATAACTTCGTTAACTACCGCTCGCTGATGTCGGCTGATAACGTGCGGCAGCAGCTCTCACGCATCATGGACCGCTTCAGCCTGCCGCGACGCAGCACAGAGTTCACCAGCCGAGACTATTACATCAACATCCGCCGCGCTCTCGTCACCGGCTTCTTCATGCAGGTGTGTTTGTCTAGAAGTGTGCCACAAATATAATATTCTATTAATGAAAATGCCAATAAGCTTCTTTAGTCGTGCCAGGGTTTTGATTCAGTGTTTTGAACATCTTATAATGTGTGCAGTTGTCTAGATTTAGATCTGTCTGAATGTTATTGCACACAGAGATATGCTTTATGGGAAATAGTAATGTCTGTTGCGATATTCCTCTTTTTGTCCTGTGGAAATGTCCTCAACCCAGAGGCTTAAAACTAATATGCACTGACTGTGGTTATATACTGTGGAGTTTGCCTGAAGACAGAAATATAAACTAGTCCTGGTTGCTGATTGGTCAATGTTAGTGATCCAGCTGTATTAGCACTTTCCCCGCCAGTGGTTTTTTTTTTTTTTTTTTTTTTCCCCCGCCAGTGTTTTTTTTTTTTAGAAAGTTGCCAGCCACCGCCAGTAAAAATTTTCATGGCCCACAGAATATTTTGTTGTATGAATATCTGAAGATGCATTGTCAAAAGAAAGGAAAACAAGTTTTATTCTGTTTTCTTCCATTCTCTTTTATTAGCACTTGAATGTAAGTTTAAAAAAAAAAAAAAAAA